GAGATAATTATAAATTTTGTTCATTTTTCATCGGACTTGTGCAATCATTTCGTAACGAACCCGTACGAATGCAACAATTTTTGGTGTCAGAAGTGGGATTTGAATGACAATAACAAGAGCGATTGAAGAACAACTAAGACAGCCTTTGCCTCGTTTAAAGAGGTAATGGAAGCGGGCCAAGAAGAAATGAAAGCGGGACAGGAATCCGTTAAAGTGGAGATGAAATCTCTTAAAGACGAGATGAAAGCAGGTCAAGAGGAAATTACCTGCGTAACAGAAAACAGATTCAAGGCTATAGAAGGTAGAATAGACTCGGTCGAAAGTAAGGTTGGAGAAATTGAAGAAAGAGTCTCTTCCATCAAAGAACAAATAGAAGGGAGAGTTTCTGCTGTGGAGGAACGAACTGAAGGAAGAGTTTGTGCCTTCCAACATCAAATCGAACAACAAATTGATGATAGGGTTTCTGCAGTAGCCAAAGAAGTGGATAATTTAAAGAAATTCGTAGCGACGCCAGGGAGCAATAGTGATTGTTTTAAATTCTTACCGATGCCTGCTCGTCCATCTCTGAAGCTATCCACATATGATGGGAAGACATCCTGGCAAGTGTATAAGACCCAATTTTCTATAGTTGCGGATGCAAATGGATGGGATTCCCAAGCTAAGGCCTGTCATCTCGCCGCTTCTCTGAGAGCAGACGCAGCAGATATCCTGCAGACGCTTCCCGAAAACCAGAGATTAGACTTTAAAACTCTATCCGGCGCATTGGAGCTGCGCTTTGGGGAGAAGTGTTTAAAAGACTACAGTAGGCATCAATTAAAATCCCGCCAACAGAAGCCCAAGGAAACACTCCAGGAACTCGTCACAGATGTTGAAAGGCTATCTCATCTCGCCTTTTCGGAGTGCCCGACAGAAACAAGGGAAATCCTGTCCCTGCAATACTTCATCGACGGCAGCCGGGATCCTGAAATACAGAAAGCTCTGGGAAAGGTGAATGTGAAGGACATAAAAAAGCACTCTGTTGTACTCCATGAAGTTCGAGGCAGCCCAGCAAGAAAGTCGTAGAGATCGCTACCCAGTCAGAGCTGTGCGAGTCCACGAACCAGTGGATCAACTGATGGCTCGTTTAGATGATTTAGCCAGAGAAGTCAAAGATTTAATAGGGAGTGAGAACAAAGTGGCTGCAAGGTGTTGGAAATGTGGTATTGAAGGGCACATACGACGGTATTGCAGAACACCCCAGGGCACGGATAATAAAATGGATGATTTGATAAGACCAGTGAATGCCTTGAGACGGAATAACGGTGAGAAGAAACCAACCCTATAATGCTGGAACTGCGGTGTTGAAGGCCACATACGAAGGAACTGCAGAACATCTCAGAGCACGGAAAATAAGAGAGGCGGGTTAAACAGACAATTAAATGCCATGGGACGGAAAAGGATTGACAAGAAACCAAAGTACTGGAACTGTGGAGCTGAAGGCCACGTACGAAAGAATTACAGAAAACCCTAGGGCACGGAAATTGAGACCATTTCTCAGCAACGACGCAGGAAACAAACTAATGACCATATCGAGATACGAAGGTTGCCAGATAATGAAAAACATTGTTTTAAAGCGCTCAAGATTTCTACAGTGAGTGGCAACAGTAACGGACTGTCCATTAATGGGAATATCGATGGAGTTCCTTGCAATATGATCATTGACACAGGAGCTAATATTACCATCATTCAGAAGGATTTAGCTCAAACAGTTTAAAGATAAACTTATTTGGACGCCATTCTGTGTTACCCTTCAGACTGCGTCTGGTAATAAGATCGACATAGTTGGGAAGTTAAACGTGAGCATCACGTTTGGAAGTGCCGCCTACCATCACACGGCTTATGTGGCGGATATTATAGATCCATGCATACTCGGATTGGACTTTTTTAAAGAAATACAATTTTTCCTTAGACTTCAAAAACAACAAACTGCATTCAGCATCTGATGACATGACTATCCATCCTCAGAAGGGATCCTCACCTGGAAATGCCGACGCCTTGTCCGAAAGACCCAGCTCGGGAAGCTGCCGGAATCATACTAGGGTCGAAAGGAAACGCAAGACTACCAGCTATTCTCCATCCCATATACTCTTCGGTCGAGACCTTCGTCTGCTTTGTGACCGCCTGTTTGGTCGCCCTACGGATGCGTCTTCATCGCCTGAGGAATACATCTAAGATGTCCAGGCCCGGTTTGAAGTGATGCACCGTTCTGCACGAAAGCGAGTCAACTTGGCGACGGAGAAACCAAAGACCAGGTACGATGCGAGAGCTACTGGACATAGATTCAACAAAGGAGACAAGGTGTGGTTGTGGAACCCGATTCCACAAAAAGGAGTCAGGCCTAAATTACAGTCACCTTGGGATGGTGCCCACACAATCCTGAACAAGCTGAATGACGTCGTGGTTCGGATCCGTAAGTCTTCGAACTCTAAACCTAAAGTCGTTCATTACGACAGGTTAGCTCATTACTATGGCCATAGTACGTAGTGTATATAATTGTAAATAGTATTGTAAATAGTATTAGACCATGGTCCTGTTTTGTTTCTAAATGTGTATTCATTTCATAACGAACCCATACGCGCGCAACAGTATGTAAATAAAAATGTGTTTTGTGATCGTACAATTTCCGTCTACAACGTCTGTTTTGGATTACAATTTAATTAGGTATGATATCGCTAGATGCTGCGCTGGATACAAGGTAAGAGGAATCATTTTGCTATCTACTTTTAATTTGTTGTGAAATTTTGAGGCTAGAAAAATGTTTTACAACAAAAGATTGTGAGACCGAAAGAAAAATCATAGCTAATTAAATAATAATAAAAAAAAAACTGTAAAGGCTAAACTGTAGTTTCCTATAAAAACCGAAAATAAATTTTTTCGACAATACAAAAATATTGAATTTCAAGTCAAATGCAAATTGAAAAACTGAATTCCAGCAATCACTCAACATGGAAATTCAAAATGCAAATGCTACTAATAAAGGAGAATCTTTACGATGTAATCGAAGATGTTCCTCCAAGCCCTATTACAGAGCAATAGAGTAAGCGAAATTGGCAGTGTCGTACGATTATAAATTTATTTATCGAAGACAGCCAAATAATTCCCCTACATTGTGCAACAGATCGTCGGGTCAGTCATTTATATTAATTCAGATTCAGGCGAAAGAATAAAGGCCAGTCCGGAACAGTTAAGGAAACACTACGATCGAAAAGATTTTCATATTCTAAATAGTTTTTTTCAGGCTTCTGAGACAGAAGAGACAGCAGTAACAACAGCGGTTTCGGTCCCAGCAGCGCTTCCACTCCCTGAGAAAAAGAAAAGAACCAACGAGATGATAAGGCCGCAGATAACTCAAAGAGTCCCCCAGAAAAGAACATCGCAATAGATCGAAGCTCCAACGAGCAAGAAATTTAAGAAAATAGAATCGTCCAGAAGAAAGGCCCCAGGCAGGAACAAGGATACCCGTGAAGCAAAAAGAATAAGGGACTTGCAAATTAGGAAACTTAACATAGAGTTCAAATTTAGCATACTTGCTATCCCCTTAAGGCTCGCTTGCGACTGATAGCAATACCCTGCAGCTTATTATGACACACATATTCATAGATGTTTTGTGTGGAAGAAAGGATGAATCCTAGAATATAATGAAGAAATAATAATATACGAGCACTGTGTCGACCACCTCTTTACAATACTTTGAATGTTATCTGTATCTCTCAGAAGATAAATTATAAGGTATTTCTCCACTTCCCTAGCGTGCCTTCGTGGTGTAATGGTAGCACGCTGGGCCGGTATTCGAGAGGTCCGTGGTTCGATTCCCGGCGAAAGCGGTTGCATATTTTTCATCTTTTCTGCTTCCAATTAACCTAGTGACTCTACAAAATGAAACATCAATTAAAATATAATAAACTTAATAATACCCAAAATACAAAATATTATACTGTAACTAAACGAACTTTAAATAATTTACAAGTCTCAACAATTACCGATTCTCAACCCACAGTTCGGAATTAAGGATCTATCTCATAGTGTATAATATTTCATCCTGTATTTCACTACTTTCAGTGCTACATAATCTTCCACAGATTTTACATAAATATAATGCACAACATAATAGGTATTTATACTATATGTACTTTTCAATGTAAAAAGGATTAATTATTAATTTTCGTACTGTAAAAATTCCATCTAATTAGTATGAATATACTCATACTCATATACACGTAATTTATAAGTACCTATTTATTAAATAATTAATTTAAGAAAACTAAATTACTATAGAAAAAATACATAAAAATACCATTTACCTATATATATATTAATAATTTATTATTGCAAAAGGGTTTTCATATATCATCTCAAAGAAACATAAATGTAATTAATGTGATGAATTATTGGAATAAATTTGAGTCAGTGTTTTAAGTATAAGTTATTTAGATTTCGATTGTAGAAAAAATACTTTAAAAAGTGTATAGAAATATTATTTTGAACCATAAGAATTCTAAATAGTAAAATTTAAAGTACTGAAAAGGTAGCTATTGTAGGTAAAGTGCAGAATAGCCCACTTATTTGTTTGGCGCTTTTTATAAGAGTAAGAAGAATTGGATTTTTGTCAATTTTCTTTGAAATTTTAAGTGAAAATAGGTCGATGTGTACATGGATAAAGTCAAGGGAGTGAGCAATGCCATTTTTGTGCAATTCTGGGATTTTTTTCAAGTGAAAATAGCTCGATATGTACATGGATACCGAGTATGTGCAATTCTTAAAATCGCGCCAAGCAGTGGGTGATTCTGCATTTTCAGCGCTATTGTTATTGACAGTACATTATATAATATAAAAATACCTCATGCTCAATCTGTCTAGTTGCCTGTATAAAAGCAATTTCAGGTCTCAACAATGTGATAGCTTTTCTGGAAGGTTTTAAACCATTAGCGATAAAATTATAGTAAAAGGTAAAAGCAACTTACGGCTTCTGCCATTTTTATCTTAGAGCAGAAAACGCTGACTATATTCAAGCATTCTTCTAGCTGAAATTTCTTTTCATCTTCACAGAAGCGCTTGGCTAGTTGATCAGAGAGATGTTCAATTTCCTCCAATTTCTTTTTGAGAACTAAAATCTGCTTGGAGCCGTTCTGTGAAAAGTATAAAATCTTTTCAAGCAATATAAAATTAGCAATGGTTAATCTGCTAATAATTTTTAAATTAAATTTTCAATCGTTTATAAATGATTTTACATTCTAATAATTGTAAGTATTAGAAGAAACGTCTGGATTATTCTTGGGGTTTTAGATTCTTCTGGAAAAGGTCGTACTACAATTTAAAAATAAAGAGGAAAATGAGTTTTATAAGTGCATGAAGAAATAAATAAGAACGCAGTTTAATATTCATGTTAGAGACCTACTGATACTATAAAAACTGAAACGAGAATGGGAAAGTATCCTGAAGCATTTAAAACTGCTACCTAACTAGCAGCTTATTTATTCATTAAGGGCATTCTTATTCTCGAAAACATTATTTGTTTTTATTGAAAGCAGGTATGGTATAGAAGAGATATTCAATATCGCCATGCTTTGAAATAATATGACTTCAAAGTAATTTCAACGACATATTTTCGTTTACCTGAACAAATGTACCAAAACGCAATTTGAGTTGTCCTCCCTCTTGCTGTATTCTATTGTCTAGTCTTCTCAAGGTGGCATCTAGTTGGCAAACTTCTCCGGAGAGATTATCCAGGCTTAACCTTTAAACAGTGAATTATTATCAGAAAAAGTTTCAAATGAATTTTAAGATAACATGTATTTAAAATTAATAAAGGTAAAAAAATGGTGTTATTCTTCTAGATTAAATCTTAGGAAAATTTTGATACGGCTATGATAAAGATCTTTCATCATTCATGGGGAAAAGGGTGCTTGTTATTAAAGATTATTTACTTTAGAAATAATGTACTTACTATAGTTTCATCAAAATCGATCTTTATGTTTCATGAAAATGCATTTACAAAGGGTAGTACGGTTTGGGAAGATTCCGTATTTTGAGGGTACCGAGTCCGATTTGAGTCGTTCCCAAAATTCCAGATCCGTGTCCTAACTAATAAAATGAAATTTAATAGTAACTTTTGACGGTAGGAAACGATGTTAACTTTTTGGTACCAAAGTGCTACTGTGTAAACATTTATATTTATACATTTCTGTTTCAATGTAAAAGTAAAATGCATTTTAAATTTAAATACACATTAATCATGGCTTGAGGAAACTACTGTATTGGTAAAGAAGTATATTATATTCAATTAAAACAGAAAATTTTGTTATGTAATTTCCAAAGTATATTTTTTATGAACTAATAAACCATAAATGGAATAAATTACGCTTTAATTTTACTCAAAAGTCAACACGAAAACGAGATTAGATTATTAGGTTATTAGAATACAGTAAAGATCACAAGAGCTATCAACTTCAGGGAAGAAATGCCTTCGTGGAGGACTTTCTAGGAGAAAATTCACATTAGAATATTATTAAGGTATATAGATGCAGGAACGTGAAAACTGGATAATGCCTTTCCCCGGGATTTGAATATCGGAGCTCTCGAATGCCAGACAGACGTGCTATCCATTTACACCACGAATGCACGCGGAAAGGAGGTAGAAAACGCCTTACAACTCAGAGAAAACTACAAATTCAACCATGCAGCCAGCCCGTTTGCCTCGGACTGAACTCAGGTCGAACTCCAAGTTTTCACTTGCATCAACGCATTTACCTAGGTATCAAACAATCTTTCCACTTCATTTAATAGTTCTTGACCTGAATTACCAGGGATTTCTTTTAACTTTCACCAATAAGAAAATAATTTTAAAGAAGGGAAGAACCGTTGTGATGCCATTCTTTGATACTTGATAATTAAATCTACACATACCCTATTACACTTCGACGAAAATGCTGAAAAAGTAGAGAGATAAACACAGATGATAATAATACCGGAAATATGCGAAACCTCGTTGTTAGACAAACGACAAATTTGCATTAAGATGCATACTATAAATGTTTGAAATTTTTTTTAATCTATTGCATTGCTAGTGCAAATATTTATAAAAAATTTCAGTTAGACATGTTATAAATCATGTTAATTATATGTTAAATAATTTACGTCCATTTGAGATAATAAAAATAGAGGCATAAATTGTATGCTTTAAATCGCTGACTTATTTAACAGTGTATTGTAAATTAGATGTTAATTATTTTACATTAAGGTATCGACTACATTCTAATCTTCAATTTTGATGACAATTTTCAAAACATTTTTATTATTGTATTTTAAAGCTTATATTCTAAGCTTAACTTAACACTTTAACTTAAAATATTACTATAGTAATTTTATGACACTTTCCACAAATATTATACAAAATAATATGAATCAAATGGACTAAAACTTGAAGTTTGTGTACATATCTAATTTTTTTTCAGACTATTTTGTAAATAAAAAGAGGGAAATTTCTCGAAAAATAGCTAGTGCCTGTACTCAAAGAGGTATATTTAATAAACATTTTACTTAGTCACTTAAATTTTAGTTCATTTAATTCCTTATACCTTAATAAATATAAGTGAAAAACATAAAAGTAAAATATTGATAACTATTTTTGTGGGAACATATCTAGTAATCCTTAAATTTAACACATTTTTGACCCAAAATGTACGAAAAAGCTAAAACTTATGATTTGATGACATGTTTTTATCATTTTTGCTACCTAACAACAATAATAGATTTATTTGTACAATTTTCCAAAATTTAGGTGTGGAACGTAGTCAGTTACCTTATTTAGAGATTTTGCTAAAAGAAAATTAAAAGTATTAATTAATTAGGACTAAGTGTGTTACTTTTAAATAACTTAGTTAAATAAGCTATGTACAGTGTCAGTTGAGAAGATACATTGAAAATCTTACACCATGTTAAGTGGCAATACTTCTGAAAACTATCAGTTTTTCAGGCCGTGTGAATGATAAATGCTCTATCAGCGTAATATAAAATAATGCAATCCATAAAAAGGAGTTCAGATTCCGTACCTGTTTTTTTTTCGTATATTTCGTCTCTTTTTTTTTTTAATAATTTAAGTCTTTAAAACAGAGAGGGGGGAATTTTCGGTGTATACGATTCCTCAGGTGACGGCTCAAATGAAGAATATAGCAGAGCTTAAACTGTGCCTCCGTTTTTAAGACAAATTGCAATTCTAGCTGAAGCACGTAGGAAGCTTAAATAAGAGTGGTTTCGACCGACATATTTCGCTTATGAAACTGAATCACAGTTTCAGCAGAAAATTCTTTTGATCTCGTAAAATATTGTTTTAGTAATAATTTAATCTTAAAAATCGATTCTAGCTTGTAAATGTATGCTTGTCCTTCTCTGGGAAACAAGCCTTTGGACGATGGTTGGAACTTTTAAAGAGAGAACCTTACCCAGATGCTAAAATCTTATTTTGCGGGAAGTGCAATAAATTTATGACAGTTAAGAATGGGTGAAAGTTTCGGTCTTTAAATTCGATGTCGCCATCTTTAATTAAGTCTTTTAATTCGATGTCGCGATTTTAGTTACTCACAATTTACAATAAAACATGAAGGAAGAAGTATTGTTTATGTTTCTAAATGCGCTCCAAATTGCAACGGCCTAACATATACTAAGATGAACGGCTTAAGGGGGCTCATACACCTTAAACCCTTTATGATCTTCGAATATGTGACTGTTGCAAAAACTGGGATATTTTACTTATTTTAAAAGCAATTACTTCCAACTTTTTTACAGCTCACTACATAATATAGCTGCTTTAGAAACTAGTAATCAGAAAGTGTGTGTTGCCACAAATATTTTTGTAATTTAATCCGCTTTGTGACAAAAGCTTTCGTCATGTTTCCAACTTGCGCGCACGATATTTTAAAAATGGCTAATGGTACATATTTGAAATTCGATGGAATTCTTTATATGGGCACTATTTTCTAACTGAACCAAAAATTTTATGAATATTTTAGTATTAAAAAAATTTATGCGCGAAAACATTACAGATTTTATTAATAAAACACATTTTGTAAACTCAACTCCAAATAAAATAAAAATTTAACATGAAATCCACAGAATTTTAGGTTCACAATAGTTTCCAAATGTTATGAAAGCTATATATTAAATATGGAATTAAATTATGCAATAGAATGTTTTAAAATGTGCGCGCAAGGTGGAAACTTGACGAAAACGTTTGTCGCAAAGCGGATTAAATTATAAAAATATTTGTGGCAACAGAAACTTTCTGATTACTATTTCAGAAAGCAGCTATATTATGTAGTCAGCTGTAAAATGTTGGAAGTAATTGCTTTTAAAATAAATAAGTTATCCCAATTCTTGTAACGTCACATATTCGAAGATCTTATGGGTTTTAAGGTGTATGAGTCCCCTTAACTAAATCCAATTCTAGTTCCTGCCGAAAAGAACACCAGCGGACTTTTCAAAACGGTGCAATAAAATATGGGGGATGAAATGGTCTCTTGTACAGAACCTTACATTTCTTCTCAGCGTATAGATCAACCTCGGATTCGGGGGAGGAGGGATATTTTTCCCCTGTCACATTCTGCTTGAACTATATTATTCTGATAAGAATTATACTGGCAGAGGATCGTTATCAGAAAGTGCTGAACTCCTTCCCTTGTTTACAAACATACACTTCTCCATTAATATTTTACTGCATGCGTTCGAACTCTTTACAGCATTTAAGTCTTCATTAGGGACATTCACCATTAAGTCTCATTAGGGACGCTATGACCTTTTAAAATTTTTTCATTGGTGTGCTGGAGAAAATAAGATGATCTGTGTTACTTTTATACATTGAAATATCACATTATGCTGCATATTTAGAATTTCAATTTAGTCGGACTCCGGCTCCGCTATTTCTTAGTTTCTAACAGAAACAGTAATTCCAGCCCGAGCCGTAAATAAGATGGGGTATTTTTTGTTATGCAAATTGTATTTCTGTCGTTGTACTGAGGAGCGGCGCAGACGCAAATTTGTTAGGGTTTTTATGCGTGCTTTGGAGCTTCAAAAGTGGGCTGGGAATTACTGGATTTCCGACGAGACAGAGGTTCTTCGAGAAGTGCTTCTTGAAGCCAAAGGTTTCTCCGTCTTCTCTCGCCGTTTCTCAACCAATGTGATGTTTGAACCACCAATAAAGAGATTCGGTCAAGTTTTATGAGCCCGAAGTTTCTTAATTTCAGTTGAGGTAATCGAAGTCACAATACAGTCCACTATTATTGAACAACGGAACATACATGGTTTTTGGTCCGGCGAGCCGGAGGTGCAGTAAAATTGGTGGTCAATGTATTTCTATATCTTTCTTATTAGATAATAGAATTTACTACGCTTAAGATAAAAAGCATGTAGCTAAAGCTAAGTAAACTAAAAGAGAAAATTACAGAGAACTTACGATTCTACTGATTTCGCTCAGTTAGAACTTTTTAAATCCAGATTAAGAAATGTAATGACTGAAATTTCGGATATTTTTAGTAACATTTTTGTAGTCTGTGAAGAGAAAGATATTGGCGTGCTTAGAGAAGAGCAATAGGACATTCAAGATACTCTTGATGAGTTATTTTTAACACAAACCAGAGTTAATGTTAAGAATGTTAAAGATATCAGTGTGTGAAAGCTAAATCTTGTAAAATAGCGAGTATTCGTTTCCTAAGCTAACTCTTCCTTTGTTTGGTGGCAGTGTTG